GTTTGAGACCCGCCTGGGCAACTTGGCGAGACCTCATCTCTACAATAAATCAAAAATTAGCCGGGCGTGGTAGTGCGCGCCTGTAGTTCCCGCTAGCTGGAAGGCTGAGGCGGAAGGATCGCCGGAGCCCAGCAGGTTGAGGTTGCGGTGGCCTGGAGCGGCCACTGCACTCCAATCTGGGTGACAGAGTGAGACGCCAACTCAAAAAAAAAAAGAAAAATAAATAAATAAATAAAAGTGAAATTGCTGGGACTAAGAGTATGAATTGTATGTGGTAATAACTATCACCAAAAAGGTTGTGCTACATTATATTTCCACAAAAGTTTATAAATAGCCTGTTCCCTTGCTAATACTGGGTATTGTAAATCATTAACTTTGCCAGTCTGATGGGTGAAAAATGTTACCTTGTTGTTTCAAATTGCTTTTTACTAGTCAGCTTGGGCATCTTGTCAGGTTTATTGGTCCTCTGTAATTATGTGAACTGCCTATTAGTGTCCCCTACCAATATTTAAAGTCACTTTGTCTTTTCCTTAATGGCTTACGTGAGCCTTCTTTATCCTTTCTTGCACGTGCTGCAAGTATTTTTTTCCTCAGTTTGTGTTTTAACATTGTTTTAAGGATGTGACATAAGGATGAGGATAATAACGGTTTTGCTCTGTATTTCTGGGGTTATAAATGTTGTCCTTCCTAACCGTTACTTGGTTGTACAAATAATTAATTAAAAGCCGGGCTCAGTGGCTCAGCCTGTAATCCCGTGCCTTTGGGAGGCTGAGGTGAGTGGATTGCCTGAGCCCGCGGGTTCGAGACCCACCTGGGCAGTGAGACCTCATCTCTACAATAAATCAGAAAATCAGCCGGGCGTGGTAGCGCATGCCTGTAATTCCGGCTACTTGGAAGGCTGAGGCGGAAGGATCGCTGGAGCCCAGCAGGTCGAGGCTGCGGTGGCCGGGAGCGGCCACTGCACTCTAGTCTGGGCGACAGAGTGAGACTCCAACTCAAAAAATAATAATAATAATAATAATAATTAATTAAAAATAAAAACTGTCCTATAGAGATCCTCATTCAGAAACATGGAAGGGATCTTAGTGCCAATCTGTGCATGTCTACACTGTCTGCCCTGGATGTGGAGTTACAACTGAATCCATTCTCTCAAGCAAACTAGTGAAAGGAACTAGGCACCCTTGTCTCAGGCACATGGAAAGGAATGGCCTAATATCCCATGCTACTGTCCACCTCCAGCCCTACAGAGCGACAGACACATAAATCTTGACCCAAAATATGAAGCAGCAACTTGAAACTTTAGGAGGAAGTAATGGGATATTCTGCCAGACCCAAGTGCTGACAATGAACAGAGGTTATGTACTTTTCTTGTTAATTAAATTACAGATACCAGCTCGTCTCATAAAGAATGGAAATACACTCTGGGCAACACTCACCAAAAAATAGTCGAATGACTTCAATTCCGAGATACAGAAAGAGCATCACCACATCCAGTACTAGGTTGGCTGTTGGGTATGGAAGCAGGAGGACTGCCAACACAAAAGCCAGAGTTTGCAAACAACATATAACAGCACCCACGAGAGCTGCCACACACTTGGGAATAAAGAGGACATCAGTCTCAGCTTTCCATGAACTAGTTTGTGAGATGTGGGCATTATTACAGCTCAGGATACACTAACTCGCTGCGTGACTATGCTAGAGGCAGGCTCACTTTTGTGGCACTTTGCTCCTAACTCCAAAAGTCTCTGGAGACACCTCTCCCCAAAATAACGATGTACGTGGGTACACAGCCCGCTGAGTAGCTTCTGAGGGTCACCAGTGGACTCCAAGTGGAGTGCGGCACAGAGAAGTGATGGGGGGGAGTCAGAATGGAGAACCCCCACATTTCCCAAACCCAAGAAATTCTTGCAGAGGTGCTTCCTATGGAATCATTCTCAAAGAAGCCACCCGACGAAGAGACTTCTGCTTGTTGTGAAAAAGAACTGCAGGGAGCAGAGAAGAATGAAAGATAGGTTTCTGCTGGGAGTTGGCTGGGGCTGAAGTGGGGAAGAGAGGTGGGGGCAGGGCTCAAGCCCCAAGCCTTACCTTTATACAGAAATGTGAAAAGCTCCAGCAGGAAATAGGTAGCATAATACCACCCGTTCAGAAAGAACAGGATTTCCAGGGGGGTCGAGGACAACCGTTGACCTGAAAAGATGAGCGCAGAAGTGGGATGCGGGGAGGCAGCCCAAGCTGCTCCTCGCATCTTACTTGGAGAAGACACTAGGATGAGACGAGAGAGGGGGTGGGAGTGAAGGGGCCTCCTTCACTTCCCGTCTTTCCCAGGAATTACCCTCAAACATGCCTCTCTGGGCTTCAGGGATGAATGTCAGGAGGTCACTCGGGGAATATCATCGCCGAAAGGCCCCTCGAAGACCCAACGCCTTCACCGCTTGGGAGGGGAAGTGGGCGCAAAGACCAGCGGACTCGCACTGCGCCCAAGCCGAACAGCCCCGCCAAGGCTGTGGGTTTCCGAGACCCTCAGGCGCCAAGGGTGGGCGGGGCCGCGGGAGCGAGTGGGGACTGGGGGCGGGGCGGGGCCCCCACACCCGAGGAGGAGGGCGGGCTTGGGTCGAGCTTCGGGAGAGAAGGGGCAGGGAGGGACCGAAGGGACGGGGACCAGCGACTCACAAACCTCCGGAGCCTCACCTCGCGGCGCCATCTCCAGTCCCCATGGAAACTGCGTACGCGGCCACGGCGGCTCCGGAGCAGCGAGCGCTGCCGGAAGCGGGGACGGAGCGGCCCGGGCGTGTGGCCCCTCTGCCAGCCCGCGCGCGGCACTCTATGGTCCCCGGGCGGGGCCGGCCGCGAGCGCCGCTGCAACCGCGGGGACGGCC